ACTGAAGCGGTAATATGGTTGAATGGAACGAGGGAGGTGCTTTCCGGCAAGAAACACAACTGTTCAAACTCCGGTGATTTGATTTCAACGGCTCTTGCACTATCTACAAGAGTTCGATCGATTTCCCTAAAATGAGTATCTGTTTTGTCATGGAATATGTGGAATGATAGATAAAAAAAATGGAATCTCTAATAATGTGTTGTTATTTTAATCCAAAATCCAATAAAGAAAAGTGCATGAATATGTTCTCCTCCCCTCCCCTTTCTATAAAGAGGAAGGCTATTTATACTGTTCTAACTGACGTGGTGATCGTTGGATCAGATCCCGTGACAATTTCTTTTAGATTGAAGCTTCACATCACATCCATTCATTACATTTAATGTTTGATAAAAGGTTAGCCGCTCTAGAAGTAGGCTGACAATGCCATTAAAAGAGTTACTGACACTTTACTGCGGACGTCTCATCAATCATTTCTAAGAGATCTTCAAATTTGTTGATGCGACGTTGGCTTATGGGTTTCGGACAACCCTGTGATAACCTCGGATTGGACTGTGCCTCGCCTTTGAGGAAGTGTTTCAGTCCGATGCTTGTTATGAAAGGACCTCGGCCCATTTCTTTCTTCAACTTCTGACCTATTGGCCTTCCTCTTGACTCCTCGTCGGACGTACTGCCACGTGGCCCAATTTCTTTATACCCCGTAACTGGGGGATAACAAAACCTTTATTTAATTTTGATTATTTTAGGATTTTTTTTCCAACGAACTCATTTTTATTCACATATTCTTAAAATGTATTTTATAAAACCTTTTTCTCATCACTTTTTTTTTGGGTAAATAGCACAAAACGTCCATACCTTTCAATGTCATCGTGCAAAACGTCCATACCTTTCATTTTTTGCTATTTTCACTATTATCTTCCACCTTTTATTGCGCAAAATGTCATTTTCAACTATTTTCAAATAAAAGACAATTTTACCCTCCTATTCAAATAAAATAAAAGGAAAAGGAAAAAAAACTAATTGCAATCATAGTCCTAAAATTTTCAAAATATTACAGATAAGTCCTAAATTCTCCACCACCACCACCACTTTCACAACCCTGCCTGCCGCCACCTACAAATCAACATTGCACCACCTTCTGGCCACTACGCCTGTTGGACTCCACCACTGCTAGCTCGCATCACTCTCCCCAACATCCTCTCCCATAGTATTGATAACAAAATCTGTCGAAAACAGCCACATTTGCAGCCTAAAATACTAAAATTGTCGTATACAACCCTTCACGGTAACCCCACTTTCAGCGCCACCCACGGTACCGCACCACCATCGACTGTTACCCATCATCTCGACGAACCTATAAATGGCCTCACATCAATCAAACCTGTCTCAAACCATTCTACTGTAATATAGACATTCGATAGTGGCGACGTCCATTTTGCCAAACTCTTCTCCTTCAATTCATGCATCCCACAACACTAAATCCCCAAATGGACATCAATCGAACCATCAACAAACCCAAACAGCAGTGTGTATGAATCTAATTGAACTAATTATCCCTTAAGCTATTTCAATGTGTATAAAAAATCGTTATCAAACGAATGGTCAAGTTGCTTCCTGAATTTTTTTAATTTATTATATGTTAAGTCATATCAAATATTATAAATCAATCATGCATCGAATTGCTTGTGTGGACAATTTTATACACATAAATTGCATTTGACACCCATTTTGGAGAAAAAGTAAGTGCCTGTTTATCAACCATTATTGAGAAGAAAATTGTGTAATGAATAATATTTTTTGGAAGAAACTTTATCAGATTATGTGTAGAATATTTTATTATTTGAATATGTGGTAGATATTGATTACTGTAGAAAACAAATTTTTGAAAAATGGTAAACAAACATGGGCTAAATTTTGGAATAGTGATTGATTGAAGAATGTGTGATTAAAAAGTAATGAGAATTTTTGGGTTTATATGTTATATTATTTTATTGATAGAAAGTGTGGTTAAAATGAGGAAAAAAAATGAGAAAGAGAATGAGAAGAAAACTGGTGTCAAACAGGGACATATTGTCATTTTACATCGAAATTGTTTATTTTTGTGAATTAGGCACCGTTGGTAACCATTATTCTAGAAAAAAATGTATTTTTTGTGTCAAATCACACCTTTTTTGTGGTTGAAAATGAAGGAAAAGTTATTGATGTGATGGAAAATATTATTTTATTGATGAATGTGTGGTTGAAAATTAGTAGAAGAATGAGAATGAAAAAAAGAATGGTTACCAAAC